AAATGGCAAGCCGACAGGCCAGCGGAAACCCTGCAGGCCCACCGCGCTCTCGCACTCTCGCACTCACGCACGGCATCGCACTCCCACGCTCATCAATGCACACACAGGCTCGCATCCGCCCACCACCAAACGCCGCCACGCAGGCCCACACCCGCCACGGAACGACGCCGCTGATATGCCTTGCGCCAGTCGGCCCGCCGCCACACCGAATATTCCTGACTCCCGCCCGCAGTCCCGCCACGAAAAGCCGCGGCCGATTTACCTTGCCCCAGTCCTGCCCGCCTCCACACTGAATTTCGCTGGGCGCAGAGGAAGCGTCACGTTGGGCCCTTTGCATTCTTTAAGAGTATAGGGAAAAGAGCACGCGAGCAAGAAAAAGGGAGAGAGAGGTCCATCGAGATGGTTTGCGCAAGATGTGGGAGGGATAGAGAGAGAGAGGGAGAGAGAGAGAGAGAGAGAGAGAGAGACAGAGAGAGAGAGAGAGAGAGATTACCCAACCTAACTAATACCAACAAGATCAAGTGTAGTATATGCTTTGATGAGTTTCATATCCGATCCTTCACCCCACACGATCAATCGTGGTACCTGCTCTTTTGAGTTTCATATCTGATCGGTGGTCCATCAAGAGGTTCGAGACCTTTTTTTTTAAATAAAGAAAACACAGCATGTTCGTTCGCGAGCTCACGCGCGCGCGCGCGCGCGAGAGAGAGAGAGAGAGAGAGAGAGAGAGAGAGAGAACCCAACTCAAACTATGTGCCTGCCCCCCCCGTCTTTCCCCCACACGATCAAGTGCAGTATGTGCTTCGATCAGATCCGTGGTTCATCAAGCCGGTTAAAAATTGGGAGGGGGGGGGGGGGGACAAGCACACCCAAGACATGGGAGAGAGAAAAGAGAGAGAGAGAGAGAGAGAGAGAGAGAGAGAGAGAGAGAGAGAGAAAAATAACTAACTACGTCCTCCCCCCCCCCGTCCCAAACTATCAAGTGTAGTGTCGGATCCGTGGTCCACCTCCCACCTCCATGGCCTCTACCCACCTCCGCCCACCTCCACGCACCTCTGCTCACCCTCTGCCCACCTCCACTCACCCTTCGCCCACCTCCGCTCGCCTCCGCACTACCTCCCACCTTCGCCCACCTCCGCCTGGCGACTCCTCCCGCCATCTCCTCCCGCCGTCTCCGCTTTCTTTCCCACCTGCCTCCGCTCACCTCCTCCGCCCATCTCCGATTGCCCTCCGCCCACTTCCGCCCACCTCCGCCCACCTCCGCCCACCTCTGCCCATGTCCGCCTGCGTCCGCCCACCTCCGCTCACACCTCCACGCACCTCCGCTCGCTTCCACTCACCTTCGCCTCCGCCTTCGTCTCCTCCCGCCATCTCCTCCCGCCGTCTCTGCTTTCTTTACTACCCGCACATCCGCTCCTTTGCCCGCACATCCGCCATCCCGCTGTTCATCTTGGTGCCCACCTCACCTACGGCCTGCCTACCGTAGCGCTCTCTCTCTCTCTCTCTCTCTCTCTCTCTCTCTCT